CATGAGCTCGTACCCGACCAGGAACTTCCTTACCGTCGCGGACCGCAGCAGCGGCGGGTAAAAGTGCATGTGCAGGTACGAGCTCTCGACCTCCTCCTCCGACCCGGCCAGCGGGGCCTGGTGCAGCCCGGAGCTGTAGGGAAAGCTGGTGCCGAAGAGGTTGTCGTAGCGCCGCGCGACCTCCTGGATGGCCTCGGCGAGGTGGAGCCGCTGGGCGGCCGAGAGGTCGACGAGTGAGCGGAGGTGGCTCCTGGCGATGATGACGACCTCGAAGGGCCAGATGGCCCACCAGGGGCAGACGACGGCGAAGGTGTCGTTGTGCCAGACGACGCGCTCCCCCTTCTTCAGCTCGAGCTCGACGTAGTCCTGCAGGAGGTGGCGCCCCCCGTGGGAGGAGCGGTACTTGGCCATCTGCCGGAGCTCCTTGCCCGGCTCCTCGGGGAGGGTGGAGGTGGTCCAGACCTGGCAGTGGGGGTGGGGGTTCGAGCAGCCCATGGCGGCGCCCTTGTTCTCGAATATCTGCATGTAGCGGTACTCGTCCTTGGGCACGGGGCTGTCCTGGGGTCCCAGGGAGAGGTCGAGCTCCCCGGCGAGCTTGGCGAGCGGGCTGGCGGCGGAGAGGTGGTTGGCGTAGATGCGGGTCCAGTGCTCTACGATGGGGAGGATGTCCTTGCCGGGCAGGTCGGCCAGCGTCAGGTGGTGCTTGGGGGAGAAGGTGAGGACGTAGCAGACGCCCTTGACGCCTTGGGCTTGCAGGAGCCAGGACTCGGGATCTGGAGGAGAGGTTTAGTGAAACGAACGCTCGACCAGAGGGGTGTCGATGGCGGCGCTTACCGTCGGATGAGGGGTTGTTCTCATAGTCGGGCTGCTGCTCCTTGACAGCGCTGTAGTCGTTTACAAATGCGAACGTCTTTTCATACTGAGGATTGCGATCTCCTGCTGCGCGAGAGTTCCCAGGGCAGAGGTAGCACTAGTTCATGTGAGTGGTGATACATGTATGTGAGAGGTGGTGAATTGGACCAACCTTGGGATCATACTCTGGAAGCTCCCTTTCCACAGCAGCTTCCTGCTGACCTCTATAATTCACCAATACAAGGTTAAATCTCCAGGTATCAGACGACGCAGAGTGTTGGTTGTGCTCACTGCCATGGGCGCTTTGTCCGGTGTGGGGAAACGAGCAGCCAGCTGTCCGTGAGCGGGTTATACCTCCGGTGGGAGATGTCGTCGAGGACCTTGTCAGGCATGCTGAATGTTATACTTGAAGACACAGGCTATGAGGCAACGTAGGTTCGGACGAGGGAAGAAAGAGTGATTTTGTACCAACAGCCGTTGTATTGCACGTTGAGCCGCCTGCTGAGGGGCAGAGCTACATACACTTTGCTGCAATTATTACTGCCTACCAAATCGGGTGCCAATTCCCATTATCTCTCGAAACGGGTGCTTCTACAGCCCAGCCAATCGGTGGAGCTCCTCGGCCATGTTTTCGGCGAAAGCTGGAGGAGGAGAAAAGTTCGTGCTATGAAAGCCCCGAAGTACCTCCAGAGCTGCGACGGCCTCTGGCACATAAACATGGGGTGAGCGTGGGCTGGGGATGACGTCGGGGCTGACTAAGTGGTCTGTTTGGTCCCCATGGAACATGTGAAGATTCATGTGAAACGACTTAAGATCTAGGAGTTAGTTGTCAACGTTGTATAGCCTCACTGTATAGGTCGGAAAGCCAGTGATTCCTAACAAGTACAATTTCTGATATGATGTGCGGAAAATATGGCGTTTGCAGCAGAGTTCATCCACATCCGTAAATACAGTTTGTTGTTGAGGCGGGCTTACGAACATGATCTACACGAGGCGTACAGCCGTCCGACAGGTGAAAGAATTATTTTACCGTACATTTCATTTGGTCTCGGTATGAGATAAATAATGCCCAGAGAGCATTTGCCATTATCCATGTATAGAGATGAAAGGAGAGATGTGATGAATACGTAAGACCAATTAGAGCAGCGGAGACAAGTGATATATAATGGATAACCAATAAGTTCGAGATAGAGAGGGATTGTGCTACCTTAATCTTTGAAGCCCAACGTGATAGAAAGATGCTGCGAGAATCCGAAATGCAGAAGCAAACCGACGCTGGCAAGCGGGTGACATAAGCTTGCACACCAAATGGTACCTACTTTGATCTCCCCTTTGACCAAACCCCTCACCTTCAGAGCCTAATAACCCAGCAATAAATATGTATACAAAAGACAATAGTATAGTATTTAGTCCTCTAAGAATTATTTTATAGATCTGAATTATTATTTTAATAGATTTGGCTGGTGAACTGCGAGTTGAAAACGCCTGTGATGTGCAACGTCTAATGTCACCCGCTTGGCTGGGTTGCATCATTAGCTCTTATCGATAAGATCCCATGTTCCAAACAGCGCTCTCAATTGCTCCCTGTCCTGCCTGTCAGGCTGTGCACCCCGCCCTGGAATCTGGGGCCCGCTTATGTCAGCTACGCGACAGCAGCACCAGCGTGGAAGGGGCACGCCATTGCGCCAAGTCAACAATGACTGATGGGTGGCCCCCTGTCGTCGCTATTGCACTGGACCATCTCCAAAGGCTGACAGACGAGTTCCAAACAGGCGTTCTCCGGGAAAATCCATCAGAACCAGCCGCTTCCGCATCGGATTCCATCACAAGACGTGCATTCCCATCATCTCCCGGTATTGCGCATTCAGATCCGAGTTCTCATTCCACTTTTTAGGCGGTTGCGTCTGCGGTGGCCGCCCGTCACTCCGCATCTCCGCCCTGTCCAGAACACAACTTTAGTGTGGGTAGTGCGCAAGCCGCTGCCACACGTCACGCTCTCAACCCCCCGAACATGGGCGTCATCCGGAAGAAGACCGTCACCAGAGGCGGCGAGGGCGGCGTCAAATACGTCTGCGATGTCTGCTCATCCGACATTACATCTACGGTAAGTTTTCTCTTGTTTTTATTTCCGCCATTGCGCCAGACAATGGCTCGTCCCTGTTCCGAGAGTTTCCATGCTGATCCGAAGTGCGCATCTTGTTCAGGTTCGCATTAGGTGTGCGGATCCCGCCTGTAACGACTTCGATCTATGCGTCTCCTGTTTTGCAAAGGGTGAATCGCGGAATGCCCACGACCCCGCCACACATGCCTTCCGGGTAATCGAACAGAACTCCTTCCCCATATTCGACCGGGAATGGGGCGCAGACGAAGAGCTGCTCCTCATCGAGGGCGCAGAGATCTATGGGCTCGGTTCCTGGGCAGACATAGCAGACCATATTGGCGGCTTTCGCGAAAAGGATGAAGTCCGAGACCACTACCTCAACACCTTTGTCGACTCTTCGCGATTCCCCCTGCCCAAACGATGCAGCCCCCACGATTCGGATCTTGCCAATGAGATTACGAGAGAGGAGTTCCAGTCGCGCAAGAAACGTCGCATAGAAGAACGGAGAGAAGCGGCCAAGAATGCGCCGGCCCTACAACCCAAAACCAAACCCACTGCCAGTGTTCCGAGCTGCCACGAGATCCAGGGCTACATGCCTGGACGATTAGAATTCGAGACAGAGTATGCCAACGAGGCCGAGGAAGCAGTCCAGCATATGCAATTCGACCCTGGCGATGGGCTCAATCCTCGCACCGGCGAGATCGAGCCTGAAATGGAGCTGAAGCTCACTGTCATGGAAATCTATAATTGTCGCTTAACTCAGCGTGTAGAGCGAAAGAAGGTGATATTCGAGCACAACTTGCTCGACTATAGAGAGAACATCAAGCTTGAAAAAAAGAGGTCCAAGGAGGAAAAGGACCTGCTGCAAAAGGCGAAGCCATTTGCACGCATCATGAATCACAAGGAGTTTGAGGAATTCAGCCTGGGTCTCCTCGATGAATTGAACCTCAGACAGGCTATTACCCAGCTTCAAGAGTGGCGATCACTCAAGATTGGAGATCTCCGAGGCGGAGAAAAGTATGAAGCAGACAAGGCTGCCCGAATACAAAAATCAATCCCCATGGGATCGATGGACAGAGAGCGCCTGGCCAATGCGCAACGGTCTAAGCAGCCGCCGCCACCAGAACCTCCGAGCGGAGCTGCTCTGCTTGTCGCTCCAGAGTTGCCGATACGGTCTGCTGGCCAGACGAACGGCATCACCAACGGCGACTCCAAGCCCCTCACAAACGGGCATACCAACGGGGTAAATGGCGTCAACGGCCACGGGTCGGCGAAGCTAGCAAACTTGCCGTTGCCAATACCCGGCCTGCAACCACTCACGCTGACATCCGAGAACAATGCGGATGTACACCTGCTGACGCCAGAGGAAGTGAAATTGTGCGAAATCGTGCGCCTAGCACCCAAACCATATCTGATGATCAAGGAGCAAATCCTCAAGGAGGCGCTCAAGAGCAATGGTACGATGAAAAAGAAGCAGGCAAAGGACATCTGCCGACTGGATTCGCAAAAAGGTGCTCGCATATTTGATTTCTTTGTCAATTCCGGTTGGGTCGGTAAGGCATGAGAGCGTGTATGAATATTGGTTGCATTTCCAGCCCCCACGGTATGATTCGGGTGTTCACATTTTGCTTCTTTGGTGTGGTTGAGATCTGACGGCGGCGTTTTGGTGTGGTCTTCTGGGCCGGCTATGGTAGCTTGAAGCTTGTAGTGATAAATGATAAATGAACATATTCCTATTGATGAACAGATGCTTTTCTCTAGTGAGGAATTTGCATATTAGGCTGTGATATGTCGGAAGCAGCGCAGGTGGGAAAATAAAGGCATGTTGGTGGCGGTGGTGGTGTGTATGAGTAGAAGGTAAAGGTGGTGTCTGAAAGCCGCTCCTCCACTAATAATGCACCCCTCTCCCGACTCCGTATTAGCACTGTGAAGCATCCAGCTCGACAATTCCCGCCCGAGATAAAGGATCTGTCAGGGAAGCGAGAGCCTCTGAATGTCCGTTTCATATATTCGATCGTTACTCAAACTCCCCGCCTCAGCTCGCAGCATGACCACGATAGCGTCCCTGCCGCGGATGTCCGCCAAAACTCTCTCAGAGAAGATTCTTGCTGAGCAAGATGCCAAAGACCCTACCTATGCCATCATCGATGTTCGAGACGATGGTTGGTTCCCACAACATATCGGCCACATATTTTACAAGCATGAGCTAACGTAGGATACCTTCTCACCAGACTATATCGGAGGCCACATCAAGGGCGCCACCAACGTCCCCAGCCATCAGCTCGATGCCATGATGCCGACCTTGGTGCGCCGTCTCCGTGAGAAGAAGGTCGTTGTCTTCCACTGCATGTTGAGCCAGATCCGCGGGCCGAAATCTGCGCTGGCCTACCTGCGTTACAGAGACGGGCTGCTCATATCACTAGGGGAGAGCGTGCCAGAGGACCAGACTGTGTATGTGCTGACGGATGGCTTTCAGGGGTGGCAGCAGACGTATGGGGAGGACGAGATGTTGACGGAGGGGTATAAGAAGGACTTGTGGACGGGCTTGGATTAAAATTCGTTTAAAAGGTCCATACCTAGATTAACAGAAGGATTCGGCGTCTCAAGGATGTTTTGCCAACACATTTACGAGTACTGTACCGCATGTGAAGCAGCTTATGCCATGCCTGCTAATTAATACAATGCGTCGTGTTTAGAGTAATGCACAAGACATTAGATAATTTAAATGATTACAGAGTGCTTGTCATTGCATACCTAGTACTTTCATGTTAGGTCAACGTTAGCCATGGTAGTAGCTACCGGGTAGTATGAAGCTATCATGATTCATACCCGGCCATAAAACATTTTGAGTTAGACTCTGCGAGTTTGAATACGTGTGTAGTGTTTAAAGTCACGAAGAGAGCAAACAAACCTCAGATAAACACCTTGAGGAATCTGTGGCTCGCGCCGTCACACGACGGTGAATAGATTATGCTGTGACAGCTTTAGACGATCAATTCAGCCCAGCGTAACCGTGCAGCCAGTGACGCAATTCATGCACCCATGGGATTGAAATGCCCGAACCCCCACTACTAGGCAGCAGATACCCTTCATGGGCGCGGGGCACAGAAGCTTGTGCTGCCCAACGGTTGCGAACCATTTTCAGGCGATAGCAACCAGACGAGGAGCGAAACCTACGAGGAAACTAGGGACGGTGAAGGGCTAGTCTGGTTATAGCCCCTTGCGATTTTTGGGTGAGGCCATCTGGATGGATCATCGTGATAACGTTTGTTTGTTTGTTGTTGTTGTTGCTTCTAGGCTGTCGCATACCCCACCGGTCCTTCCGCCTCTTGTCAAATAGCGCCGCCGCCACTGGTCAGATTGAAACCTCTCTCCGGCTCTTGTTTATATTCAACTCTTGCTCCGTCGGAGAAAAATTCCTTGTTTACAACCTGAGGAAAACTAATCCATCCAGAGATTTCACCTTAAAAGCTTCGTCTGCTACGCAAAACCCTGCCATCTCCCAGATCCCCACGCTGCAATGAGCTCGTCACCAGGGCAAAAAACAAACGGGGAGGCGAGCCTCTCGCGTAAGACCATGTCCTATCTTTCCTACTGCTCGTATAGGCTAGGCTGTATATTGACATTTCTGGTGATCTTTAGACCTTGGATATACCCCTACGATCAAAGTATCTGAACCATGGACGGTCGACAAGGCGTTGGATGCGATCCCTGACCAGCCACCCACAGAGGCTGAGTCGCCGATTCCGTTTTTCCACATGCTCGAGCGATTGAAGACGACAAAGAGAGAGGGATGGAGGCGGTTCGAGATCAACAGGTGAGCAGTGCCCGCAGCTGTCAACCACCAAACTGCTTCTAACAGCCTCGGTAGGGGAGAGTCCATCGCAGACCACATGTACCGAATGTCGATGATATCCATGTTCGCACCCCCGACTCTCCGCGAAAAGCTCGACCTCAACAAGTGCATCAAAATGAGTCTCATCCACGACATGGCCGAGCTCCTTGTGGGCGACATCACCCCCGTCGACAACGTGCCCAAGCCTGAGAAGAACCGCCGGGAGGCTTCCACCATGGATCTCCTGGGTAAGAATTACCTGCGCAATGTGCCTGGTGGCAAGGTATCGGGGGCGGAGATGCAGGCGATCTGGCAAGAGTACGAGGACTCAAAGACCCCCGAGAGCATCTTTGTCCACGACGTCGACAAGGTCGAGCTGCTCCTGCAAATGGTCGAATATGAGAAGGCGGCCAAGGGCAAGGTGGATCTCGGAGAATTCGCATACGTCGCTAGCAAGGTGGTGCTTCCCGAGATGAAGGCTTGGGCCGATGAGCTTCTCCAAGAGCGGGAGCAGTTCTGGGGAAGCACGGATCATATCCATGGCGAGAGAGGTTTCGAAGGCGGCGCGGAAGTCGAGACGGTGAATGGACAAAATGACTACTATCAGAGGGACAATTGATTGGAATTCTGGTCTCCTCAAGCTGGTGATCTCACATTTTTGGTGGACAGTCACCACAGTGCACTTCGGTTTATGATTTCTAGGAGTGCAATAATGACAGAGACGAGGATCAGGGCATAGGGCTGCCTTGTGGTTATTTCTAACGAAGGATGGTTAATGGGAGCAAAATAGATAGATTTCTCACCACTTGGGCTTCGATGAATACAGAATTTAGACTACTTAAACTCGGATCACATGTCAGGAAGTCACCCAGCAAACATTATAGCCAAAAGAAACGAAATTGTCGCAGATAAATCGAAATGTGCCCGTAGAGAGTATTCTTGGATACGATGTTCCTACGAAAACATGACGTGCATCTGGAATTACCTATCAATATAGATATTGATTGATTCTATACTGTCTCAGCGACTCGGGCTTTGAGGGGAAAGCTTATTCCCCTTTTCCTTTTGGTGTTGCATCTACGACCAACCCCTATGTCTCTAAAACTGTCTCAATCAAGGCCAATCATTGGAAGTCGGCATTGACATCGATTTTGAGGCACTTGGTCATTATATATACTGCTTGTTTTCGAGCATATGAATGATTTCGTCGGATTTGAGTGATACCTTGGTCTGTATCGTGTTTTGATTTTTCTTTGTGCGTACTAGGTTTAGGGAGAGGCTATTGTTGGTGTTGAAAGAAACCTTGTTAATACGCTTGTCTCTGATACTGGAGAGAATGAAATAAGATAAATAAACGTATCGACACGAATCCGTTCCCCCCTTCCAATCGTACGTAGAGTTGTTCATCATGATGGACACCCTCTGACCAAAAGCCAGCTGGCTTACTAACTCATCCATAAGAGGACCCCTTTTACACAGGCAAGAACAGGTTGGGCTTGTACCCACTTCTTTCCGCGCCTGGTTGGAGGGTCGCCTCGGCCAAAAAGAGGCCCTCAACAAAATCACCCTTTTGAATCTCTTCAAAAATGCCATTTTAAAAGGCCATTTTATCACGCATACCAGATCAATCAAGCAAATCAATCCAGAGCCAACCGACAATCCGAGTCTAAGGACCCCGGACAGACATGGACGCTGCGCTTGAATTGGCACAGAAGGTGCCGCAGCCTGTACAATATGGGCTTGCTGGCGTGGGAGCTCTCTTCCTCACCACCAAGCTGTTCGGTTTTTTCCGACTGCTCCTATCCGCTTTTGTCCTTGGAGGCACAAACGTACGTCAGGACTCCCACGGGGGCACATGCAAATTGGAAGAGACTTTAGATATGCTAACAAAAGCCACAGCTTCGAAAATATGGAAAGCCTGGGACATGGGTTGTGATCACGGGTGCGTCGGATGGCCTGGGCAAGGAATATGCGACACAGCTTGCCGCCAAAAGCTTCAACCTCGTCCTCGTCTCCCGCACCGAATCGAAGCTGGAGGCTCTTGCCAAAGAGCTTCAGCAGAAGTACCCCAAGGTTCAGACCAAGATCCTCGCCATGGACTTTGCCAAAAATGACGATTCCGACTACGAACGATTGAAGGAGCTCGTCGCCGGCCTTGATGTTGGTATCCTCATCAACAATGTTGGCCAGAGCCACGAGATGCCAGTGACTTTCCTCGAGACGTCTGCGACCGAGCTACACAACATTGTCACCATCAATTGCTTGGGGACACTGAAGGTGACCCAGGCTATTGCCCCAATCTTGAAGAAGCGAAAGAACGGTCTTATTCTTACAATGGGCTCTACTGCTGGCTGGTCTCCCAGTCCCCTCCTTGCAACCTACTCGGGAAGCAAGGCATTCCTCCAGCACTGGAGCAGTGCTCTGGCCACCGAGCTTGCCGAAGACAACGTTGATGTTCAGCTGGTCATCAGCCATCTTGTCACGACTACCATGAGCAAGATTCGCCGCCCTAGCCTTTTGGTTCCCAATGCCCGCAACTTTGTTAGGTCCGCCCTTGGAAAGGTTGGGCTTGGCGGATTCCAGGCTGCTTCCAACACTTATACCCCTTGGTGGAGCCATGCTTTCCTGGTGTGGGTTGTTGAGACTATCCCTGGTATCTATGGCTCTATCACACTTGGACAGACAAAGTCGATGCACAAAGACATCCGCAGGCGTGCATTGCGCAAGAAGGAACGTGAAGCCAAGAAGCAGTAGAAGAGAATAGATGGTTGGCGGTTCAGGTTGTTTGATCGTGTGCCTTAGGCTGGTGGTCTACATGATCCTTGTTCGATGAGAGAGTTTGTATGCCTCCTCTAGTAATGTAGTCTATGATTAGGTATTCAATTAGAAATAAACGGTTCCTTGGCGCGCGATTGAGAGCGCAGCAAAGGAAGGTCACGAGAGAAAGCTCTTGCTTTGTTGTGCTGTTTGAATGAATGACTTTGATCTCTTTTGTCCAGCGCCCTGAGACGTCCCAATTGGTCGTAGCGTCCCAATCTGGCTAGGACGTGTGTTATTCGATTTGGCGACAGCAGTGGGTTGATAAAGCGCTGCAGACCCGCAAAAAATTCCGACCGTGTTCCATCAAAGCGACAAACATCCAGCCTCTCCAAACTGCCGACCCAACGCGAAAACAACCAAGTCCTTCCCAGCACCGAACGACACATCCCGACGTCCTGCCTGGCCGAGCATCGCGAATACGGACGCGATCGACGAGAAATCATTGGCGCCGGAGGCCTTGGACATAGCTCTGCGGTAGCCACACGTAGCTTCGAGAGCTGGGCTTTTCGATTTGCAGAGCTTCACATGGTCCGTAAAGCTTGCTGCAACCACTCGATCGGCGGGGGCTATCTCTCCATCTGATATCGCAAACCCTACGGCCAACGATCGAAATGGCTTTTCCGCAGATCACCCCCATGCGGCCGGTCCCAGGCGCCTTCATGAACACACCAGCCATCGCATCGCGATACCAATCTGGTTCGGAGCCCGTGCGACGCCAACTGTTTCCATCATCAGACAATGCCGTCAAGGCTCCTCTGGGACGAACAGTGTCGGGGACACTGGCAGCGCCGGCTGCTCCAGAAGCCAGTGCCGTTGGAGGGCTCCTCACCACCAACCCTCTGCCGCCTCCACGGGTCGAGTCCGTCCCACCAGTGCTGAAGGCCGCCACGGCCATCAAT